CTACGTGAAAATCAACTGTTAATTTTCTATTGATCAGATCCAATATTGTATTTATTAGCGTGTGAGAGTTTTCTTCTTCCTGCTCAGGTAATCCATAAATTACTATGTTGTTTTGTTTAAGCTTTCTTTCAGTTACTTTTAATTTATTTTTTATAAATATATTCTCCTCTTGACACTGTGATAGTTTTTATCCTATTCATACCTGTTAGCCCTTAAGGTAAATTCCAATGGAAGTAACATAATTTACAAATGAAGGGGTTAGAAACAAAAGGGTTCAAGTAATATATCTTTTTAAATTAGTTAAGTGCACTTAAACTGTTTTACCTGAAACAAATTACACGTTTTCAATAACATTCTTTTTCTACCAGCTCACAGATGTTGTTAAGACATCAAAAATCACTTGTATTGTTTTACCACAAAAAAAATAAAAGTTTTAAATAACGAAATATGCTCTTAACTCATTTAAAAAAAAATCAGTCGAACCCTTTTGTTTCTAACCCCTTCAAATAATATTCTAGTCAAAACAGTCAATCACTGAGGTTGTGGTTTGTGTAGCTGTTGCCTAGAACAACGTGTTATTCGGCTTATATCTTAAGACATTTATAAATTACCAAATAGGAAATATCATATTTCCAAATAATACCACATTTATTTTATAGATTATTCAACTTCTTAGATAATACACTGTTTTGATGTGTTGATATGGCGTGTCGTGATGAACCAAATCATTATATTTTCTATTGTATAGCTTGCCTTGTTATTGACCTCTGTTATGAATGAAAAATCAATGTATCGTAAAAGGATTTCTCACCACTTATATGTAATTCTATGCAGAACCCACATCAGAGTTTCTTCTGAGAGTAAAAAAGAATTTGAGGAGAAGGAAGATAATAACTAAAAATTTGGTATGTGGATATCATCCTCAACTCAAAAAGTTATTAAAAATATGTACCACCAATTAAAATTGGAAAATAATGGATCTAATTACGGTATCATAGAAAAGAGGTAATTTCCGCGTTTTTGGACAGAATGGGTGTATCACATTCACCTACAGCTTTAAAAAAAGATTTGCTTACAATATTGAAAGGCTTAAATCTTAAACTTAGCTATGTTGTGGATGAGATGGCAACAGGCATTCGGTCATACCGTAATACGCTTACCACCGTATTATTCAGTAAAATTAATTTGGAGTAACATCAAAAGGAAGGTCAGAAAAAAAGGATAATCCTGCGTTGTCTGAAAGCGTTTTAGATGTTATCAGAGAAGTTGTTGGATGTATATCTCAAAAATAATGATCCAATTGTGTTCTTCATTTTACCAAAATTGAAAATAATCATCGAGTATTTCCGGCTCATTCTTGCATTATAAACCTGAATGGCACGTTCAGGTTTAAGATGATAGTTCTGATGAGATTTGCTTTTCCATTTTGGGTATATTTTTACTATATTAAACGTATTTTGGAAAGGAACATGATATTTGTTCCTGTTTTCCTTTACTAGGAATGTAACCTTGCGTGCTTTAATCACTTTAGAAATTAAAGCCACACTATAGTCTATTTTTATGTATGAGAGAGTATTAAAATAAAGCGTTCGTAATCCATAGGCGTACCACTTCTTTTAGTAGACAGTTAAAATATTTTTTTAAGTTATTTCTCGAGGATACACTTATATTTTCACCTAATTAACCTGCTTATAACTTCTAAACAGCTGAAGGTAAAAAAGTGCAATTTTTTCTAAAATGTTTTATTTTTCCACAAGGTATGTTAAGAACATTGTGTCAAACGGGTTATGTAGGTGTAAGGGTTTAAACTTTGACTTTTAAACAACGTTACTTTCATAAATAATAATTTTAATATAAAAACTACTTCTTACCTACAAATCCAAATCAGAATCGAAATCAGAAGATGAACTGTCGCAACCAATATTTACAATGAGTGGCTCGATCATTTCATCAGTAATATTGTCCAACTTCCACATTTTCTCTTCTTCTTTAATAGTATAATTTACTGCCTTTTGCCAGTTTTCAGGCTTCACATTATTTACAGTCTCCAAAAACAACTTTTTAATATCACTCATTTTAAAAGAATTATTTTTTCTTGAAACTTCTCCCTTTATCTGTGCCCATATCAGTTCAATCGGGTTTACTTCGCAATGATATGGTGGTTATCTAACCACCGTCATCCCACGATTTTTTGCAATTTCATCAATTTCATATTTTTTGAATTTCTCTTTATGAAGGGAACACAAATGATACAGTTCTTTTCTCACAGAACCGGGATGGAACTTAATATTCTTTGAATTTAGCCAATTCTGTAAATCTTTTTTTAACCACTTGGTTGTGGGCATTTTTTCTATAAGTCTCGAGTGATAACTTGCAATATCCATTACTATTATACAGTTCTGAGAAAAAAGATCTATAATTTGTTCGAACCACTCTTTAAAGACATCAGCATTCATGTCCTCATGGTAGTCACCGGTACGAGTAGATTCAAAAGTCAATAAACCACCTTTAACATAACCATTTGAACTACCGATGTGTACTATTATTAGTCTGCGCCCCTTTCCTGATGGTGGATTTAAACAAATAGATAAATTATTTAAAAAAGCCTGTCTTCGACTTGTAACAGTTTTATCTTGCCAAAATTTATTTGGTTTATGTCCCTTGTTGATCCATGTTTCATCTAAATAAAATATATTTCTTCTTTGGTATCTCATTTCTTTTATAGTCCTTAGGTAATTTCTTCTCCATACTACAATATCGCTTCTTTCTATTAAAATAGACTTTCTGGAATGCTTTTTCCATAAAAAACCTATTTCTTTTAAAAGTTTCCATAGTGTGCTTCGACTCATTTCAGGGTAATCCTTATCATCTCGAACCGTGGCAAGAACTTTGTCTACTGTCGGAAATTCTTTTCTAAAGAAGAACGCATGCACTTTCGTTCGAAGTCTTTCTTTCAAAAGATTTTCCAATTGAAATTTTGGTTTTCCTGGAGCTTTACGTGCTGTTTGAAACTCGCCACATTTCTCTTCTTTAACAACTCTGTAAATCGTAGATTTCCCAACACCAAGCGTACTACTAACTAATTCCACTGTGTCATCAACACTTTTACAAAAATGTTTGTCTGTAAATGATTTAAAACAATTAAATATTAATGTTTTTTCATTAACTGTTAAAGGACCGATTTTTTGTCGTTTACGCGGCCCTTCCAAATTTTCCATGATCACACAAGAATTCACACTGCACCTTGCAAGTTGCAACTAAACGACATTTAGTAAACTGTCAAGAATACACAACTTGGACCTCCTTACTAAATGGAAAACCTATAATCGCATTTTCGGTGAAATTTGTTGGGAAGGTATTTATCTACTTATAATTCGATTACTGTAAGAAATTCTTGGAATTAAAGTAAAACAAAATTGGCAAATAGGTACTTATTGAAAATAATCTTAAGATGTAATCTTTAATACACAGGGCTTTTGGCCTGTCCAAACCTTTTTCTATTGTTCTGTACAGCTTATGTTTATAAAGGACCAATAAAAGACCCAAAACTTGTAATAGCTCAGGTACATTTATTACAATTTTAGGAAATATTTAGATTATTCTGTAAAAATATTTAAAATGACCGTACTAAGTTTTGCATTAGAAATGCTGTTTTATTACTCTCATACATAAAAATAGACTATAATACATTCCAAAATATTTTAAATTTTTTATAATAAAAGGATACAAATAGCAGTTGTTCAAGCATATTCAATGTAATATTTAAATACTTCAATTAAATCAAATAAATAGTAGAAGAAAATAATATAGTTTCATGGTAAAGTTAGGAAATTATGCAAATAATGTGATAATTTTTAAATGCGTATACCATTTCCACTATACAATAATCTTATATTAAAGCATAACATACAACTAATTATAAAAATATTATTAGTTTGGTAAAACATTTGGACCGATAAAGGAAATTTAAAATTTATCAGCATAATTGAATCCTTTCCACGTTTTCGTCCTCGTTCGTACAAAATATGTTACGTCCCAAATCTGCTTCAAAACAATTTGAAAGAAATCGATAAAATTCATTTCTGAATACCTACCGAATATATTTCACATTCTGTTTTGTTTTTGACGAGCAATCTGATTGATTTCTGTATGATTTGAATTTTGATTCTGCAGTTTATTGCTGTTGTGTTGTAACTTTAAAGAAAATTACGTGATATGGATATTGATGAAGTTGGTATAGGAAATATAGCAATGTATAAGTTGTATAAAATGATATAATAGAGTCTAATACTATAAAGTTCAGAAAATAACCTATTATTGATTTTTTTATTAATTTTCCTTTCAAAAATTAAAATGTTTTTAACATTTTCTAAATATATAAAGTAATTAATATTTTTTATCAATAGAGATCTGTGATGGAACGCCATAGCTGGAACATCACCGAATTCCAATTCCAATAAATAATCGAATTTTCGCATCAACGCATTAAAACCCTTTGAAAAGTCACGCACGGGCCGAGAAGGGACAGTTTCGACATCGATTCTATTAAAAAGATATGGGACATCTTATATAATGTAAATAGTGTAATATCTTACTGGAATTTGCTTCCCAAAACATTAAAAATATGTTAACTATTAAATCAAATTATTATTTAGTTAATAAATGATTTCTGATAGAACATAATGCGTGAGAATCAGTCAATAGCCACAGCTGACGACACTAGATACTCAAGGCGACTCAAATCGTTCTACCAATAGTTCCCCGCACTCCTCACTCTCGACTGCCGATGTTCTCTATATTACTATAATTAGTAATCACACAAAAATTTGTTTACCTGCTAACATGTACATTTTTTATACTCGTTTAAGTTAAATCTCTTTCAAAATATGTATATGTCTCCTGCTTTTGCACTTGGAGTGTAAAGATTTATCAGAAAAATAGAAAAAAAACAAGCACAATTTTTTTTACATACTTATTGAATGTTTTTTTTTATTTTTCAGGTTCGATCTCGTAGCCTAACGCATCTAGATAATTTAGAAATGCGACAGGGAGTCCCTCCTTCGACTGATGTGGCATTGAAGGACTCCAGGTCTGAACCGGATTGTACCAAACCCTTACTGGCAGCTCCTTCGATGAGTCATGAGCCCCCTACTCCCACTACGAAGGTTCCTCCTGGGAGAAAGCATATGCTTAGTAGATCGCAGGTGAGTTTTATTATAATAATTTAACACTAATTCATAAATATAAAACTATACTGCATATTATATAATAATCTACGTTTAAAATTTGATTGTCTATTAATAATAATAAACTTCAATTCGTGCGAAATGTTGTACTTTCCACACTTGTATGTAATATACTATTTGCAATCTGATAAGAGAAGCAATTTTAACATTGAGATATTCTATGGTTAGGAATATCTATGAGATTCTTTTTGCGTATATTTATACACGTGTTGTGAATGTCGGACCTTAATTTAATTTTGTTCTAAAGGTATACCGGAGAATGTGTAGATATGATTTCCATTTTTAGCCATTCAGCTCGTTTTAGGGTGTAGGAAATTTGATCAAATTTACGGATGCCGTGAGTGAGCCTTAAGCATGAGTTTTGCATAATTTGGAGTCTCCTTTTCTCTACATAGTCAAGGCAGGTACCGTAAATATAATCGCAGTAAACCGTTTTCAAATGTTAACATGAATAGAGGCAATGGCTTTTTTATAGCAGTTCTAATAATTTGATTTCTTCTTTAGTTTCTCTCCTTTGAATATTAACCACCACATGAGAAACGTGACGATCAAATTTAAGTTTGTTATCTAACACTACGCTTAAAGTTTTAGCAAAGTCAGATACCGATAATGAGTTATTAATTTTAATATTACAAACAGGGTTAGTTTTAAGTCCGAAATGTGGAACAATTGATTTTGACATGTTAATAACAAGATCATGACTAGATGAGAATTCTACTAATGCATTAACATTATCATTGATGATTTTTTCTGAAGCTTTAAAGAAGTAGTATAACTGGGTATCATCAGCGTACATATGGATATTGCATCTACTTATTATGAGTATAAATGCTGTAGAGTAAAGGGCCTAAAATGGATCCATGCGCCACTCTACGCATTACAGGACCAGCATCTGATTTGCTCCCATTAAATACTACTTTTTGACATCTTCCTGTTAAATAATTTCTATAAAAAGTTATAGTTATTTTCTCGAATCCTATGAAATTTAAAATTGTTAATAATAAGTCATGATTGATCATATCGAATGCCTTGCTGTAATCTAATAAAACTAAGACTCCAATTTTACCTTTATTACGTTGTTTTAAGATGTCATCTGTGATATTAGATAATTCTGTACCGCAACTATGTCCTGGTCTAAATCCTGATTGCGTGTGTGGTAGTATGTCATATTTGTTTAAATGGTCACGTGTTTGTTGCTCGATAACTCTTTCTAAAACTTTGGAAATAGTTGGTAGAATGGTAATAGGTAAATTAGATGCACTTTCTAAAGGTTTCGTTTTTGGGATTGGCAGTACAAGACCTTCCTTCCATGACAGGAAAAACTGATTTTATTAAACAGTAGTTAATTATGTGTTATGCATGGAATCAGAAAGGGACACATTACTTGTAAGAATTTTATTTTTTTTTGTCCATAAAACAACTTTAAAACCACATTGATATCCCATATATACCTATGAAACACCCTGTACAAGGAAATGAAAAATAATTGAAAACTATTAATACCAATTATTTATTATCTATAGTCATAAGTAAACAGTAATTATTATTAAACGGTTTGGTATATTTTGTAAAAATGTTAATATTTTACACTAACAACTAAAAATGGTAACCAAAAGCATTATTGCAGTTATTATATTCATTAATTTTGGTGAATTAAATTTTACAAAAGCAAATGATAGTTTCAAAGTGGCTTATGAGTGGACTCATATTAATTTTACGTGGGAGTCACTACCTAGGCATTCAAAAACACTAAAAGAACGTACATTTAAGTATATCCCGGACAATGTGGTTCCTGGTGGAATTAAAATTTATGGGAATCGAATATTTGTAACTTTACCAAAGCTGCGAGAAGGTGTCCCAGTAAGTTTAGCTTACTTTTGGAGAAACGATTCAACCAAAACTAATATCCCTTTCATTCCATATCCAACATGGGAAGATAATAATAAAGAAAGCTGTTGGAATTTTCAAAACGTACAGTCAATAGAAATTGATACAAAAGGCCTCATGTGGGTACTAGATGGGAACAGAATGAAAGGACATAATAACTGTAGCTGTAAACTATACCTTCTTGATTTGAAGAACAATGGAAAGAAAAATCATTCTTATACTTTTCCCGATAACATATGCAGCAAAGTTGGAGGTTTTCTAAACGATATAGTTATAGATGAGACAGATGGAGGTTACGCTTACATTACTGAATTTTCATTAACAGATCCAGGTTTAATTGTGTATTCTAGAGAAAAAAATAGATCTTGGAAACTTAGAGATAGCACAATGTTTTTAAATGTTGATGCACCGATATATAAAATTGACGGAAAAAACGTTCCGCATATAGGAAATATAGATGGAATAGCATTATCTCCGAAACAATCTAATTCAAATGACAAGGTTTTATTCTATACTACATTGACTGGATATAATCTGTACAGGTAATTTTTTTCGAGGGAAACAACAAGTCCTTCAAATTTTATCGATTACATTTTTAGTTTTCATGAAAACAAATTGATTTTATATTAAATTGTTTTGTTTGAGTTGTTTTGCCTAAAATAAAATCGTTTGAGTATGGAAACTCAAAATTTAACACATAAAATTACTTTTTAAATAGTTTTTATGAAAAAAAAAAAATTACAATAAACAGATTTTTGAAGCTTTTTCGCCATAATTAGGCTCTTCAATTACTTCTTCAGTTTCACTTTCGGATTCCTGAAATTCTGACTCTTCTTCATATATTCACTATACAGGTCTTTAGCGTTGTCATAAATATCGTTATTGATTAAACTATCGGTAAGCAAGTTCATTAGATTTTTAGCTCCTAAGTTCAGGATATGTGCGAAGCATAAAAGTGATTATTTTGTGCGTGAAAGCCTGGAATAAGAGTGCTTGAATGAGACGTGAAAGTAAAATTGGATTCTGTGTTGTCAGTTGTCACACCTTGAATTTTGTTTTCAATATTATAGAAACGTAGCACTTTAAAAAACAGCTGGGCAATATGTACACCTGGTAAAAAATCTAATGTGATTGACTGTAAATTGTAATCATGGGCTGTAATTCCATAAAACGAGCGATGTGAAATAAATGACCAGCCATCAATATAACAGGAGATGTTTGCAAAAGTTTTCAATATACCTGACTTCATAATTAATGTACTTGGTAGTGATACCTCTTCTTATTACTATTACAGTTTGATCTTCAAATAAACTAAATGGTATATATACGTATTAAAAATAAGGTTCTTCAGATTAAGGGTAAAATGATACAACATTCAGATACACACATGCAAATGTTATCAACTTTTAATGATAAAATAACCTCAAAAATACATACAATATTACCCCTGGCGAGATATTTACGTGACAAGTCAACAAAGAACACCAAAACAAGCTCAACAATATTCTTAAAACTAATATTAATTGTTAATTATAGTCTATTTTTATGTATGAGAGAGTATTAAAATAATAAATCGTTCGTAATCCATAGGCGTATCACTTTTTTTAGTAGACAGTTAAAATATTTTTTAAAGTTATTCCTCGAGGATACACTTATATTTTCACCTAATTAACCTGCTTATAACTTCTAAACAGCTGAAGGTAAAAAAGTGCAATTTTTTCTAAAATGTTTTATTTTTCCACAAGGTATGTTAAGAATATTGTGTCAAACGAGTTATGTAGGTATAAGGGTTTAAAATTTGACTTTTAAACAACGTTACGTTCATAAATAATAATTTTAATATAAAAACTACTTCTTACCTACAAATCCAAATCAGAATCGAAATCAGAAGATGAACTGTCGCAACCAATATTTACAATGAGTGGCTCGATCATTTCATCAGTAATATTGTCCAACTTCCACATTTTCTCTTCTTCTTTAATCGTATGATTTACTGCCTTTTCCCAGTTTTCAGGCTTCACATTATTTACAGCCTCCAAAAACAACTGTTTAACATCACTCATTTTAAAAGAATTATTTATTTACATAAATGTTTGTCTGTAAATGATTTAAAACAATTAAATAATAATGTTTTTTCATTAACTGTTAAAGGACCGATTTTTTGTCGTTTACGCGGCCCTTCCAAATTGTCCATGATCACACTAGAATTCACACTGCACCTTACAAGTTGCAACTAAACGACATTTAGTAAACTGTCAAGAATAGACAACTTGGACCTCCTTACTAAATGGAAAACCTATAATCGCATTTTCGGTGAAATTTGTTGGGAAGGTATTTATCTACTTATAATTCGATTACTGTAAGAAATTCTTGGAATTAAAATAAAACAAAATTGGCAAATAGGTACTTATTGAAAATAATCTTAAGATACGGCTATGTAATCTTTAATACACAGGGCTTTTGGCCTGTCCAAACCTTTTTCTATTGTTCTGTACAGCTTATGTTTATAAAGGACCAATAAAAGAACCAAAACTTGTAATAGCTCAGGTACATTTATTACAATTTTAGGAAATATTTAGATTGTTCTGTAAAAATATTTAAAATGACCGCACTAAGTTTTGCATTAGAAATGCTGTTTTATTACTCTCTCATACATAGAAATAGACTATAGTAAGTTTAACCACAGCTTTTTCTTGCCAATTGTTTTAGTATTTCACCTGTAATCAGACCATACCCGGTGCTTTCGTAGAATTGTTAGTTTCTTTGGTTTCCTTAGCTACCTCTTCAGGCGTTACCCTAAGAATTTCTACTATGTTTGTGTTCTCTTATTTTAATAAATCGAGCCCTTGGCATTCCATGTTTTAATGATTAAGTCTAGACGTTTGGAGAAACTAGCCTTCTCTACTCTCTACTCTAGAACATAATATCAAACAAATTTAAATTTTCAGCATCTCAACCAAATTTCTAAAAAACGAAACATTATGCAATTCAAATTTATGGAGAAAATACATCCATTATGAAGGAAAAAAACAAGGAGCAACGGATGGTATGATAATTGATGAAATTGGTGATCTGTATTACACTCTTACTTCACTAAATGCAATTGGAAAATGGAATACAAACACAGTTTTCAATACATCTAAAATCATTTATCAAAACAACAAATCCATGATATGGCCGGATACATTTTCATTTGATAACAAAAATGGAGATTTGTATGTTATTTCTAATCACATTTCGTCTTATTTAGGTGATGACGTTCATTTGGATCCTGTTGACACGAAATTTAAAATTTGGAAACATCATACAGGAAGAAAGAGTTATATTTGTAAAGGAAATAATGCTAAATATAATTATTTATGTAATGGATGAAAAACAAATAACTATTAACTAATAAATATATATGTATTACAAAAGCGAGTCGATAATTTGATAATAACCCTACTATTCTTTAAAATTTGTTTAGCATAAACGAAGCTATTCGTGTTTAAAAAAAATGTTTTTAGAAACGATTGAAGCCCTTGAGATTAGATAACAAAACTTTAATTTTCATGTTACAAATACAAATACTTCGTTCATTTATTGCATGTTCACAATTAAAATGAAAATATTACTCTAAATTAGTTCCGCGCTAATTAAGCGAAAGTTACAGAACCGGTTTCAGAATCAGTTCAGAAACTTAAATAGAAATTCGAATAATTCCTTAGGCAAATCATGCTAGACAATGTTAAGGGTTACTCTTATATTGAATTATTTGTTTAACTGCAGTTTTTCTCGGACACCCTGTATAATATGACTAAATAAATTTATATTTATTTTGTAAAATGAAATTTCAAGAATTCCGGTGCAATCTCCAAAGCTATTCCTCTTCTGTACACATGTACAAATATACTCGGGTGCATCTTCTATACATTAGGGAATACATTCTTGTTTACTTCTACATCATCTGAATTTATATTCCGTGGGTAATTATTATTTTGCACAAACTACAAACTCTGGGAATTAGAAACAGTTAAGCTTTGTCAACAACGAATTTTATATTAATTAAATTTTCAATTTGAATTAGAGCCTGAAGCAATGTTTTTCAATTTTGTTCTCCAAATATCATAAAAAACGTCCCAGATTCCTTGTATTTTAAAATTAATGGTGTAAGCTATTTGATCCAAAACAATTTACGGGTACTTATATCTCTGCAAGAATGGTTATATCAATGACTGAAAATTAATTAATAAAAAGCATTCAAATTACGGTAAATAATGTTTTTGTATAAATTATAATTCTTGAAAAATTGTCAGAAAGGGAAAAAATGGCCGGCACTTAGTAGAAACGAGTGTTTTAGAACTCGTCATAATGTACCAGCATCTATTTATGGTATACTATTTCTGTTCATTGTTAATACAGTAAACGCCAAATCTAAAGAACTAAGGACGCGTATTTATAATGCTACGACCACGCCTACCGATGAATAGAATTGGTAGCTTACCTAGAAAGTTGTAAACCAGGGGCGCGTATATTTTAAGACATAAAATAAATGGAAAATAGTGAATGATACTTGTTCATACATATTGCTTAGTGTTATTATTAGTACATAATTCTATATTGAATTTACTTCAATTAACAATAATTCTTATACAGGGTGTTATTGAAATACACGTACATATTAAAATGGGGAATAGTATGTAATGACCAAAAACGATTGGCACCAATTTTAACTTCAAATTCTAAAATTTAAATATTGGGGAAGAGTCCCCTTTTCCGACCTACTAGTTTCCATATTTAAAGAAGTAAAATAAATCGAAATTGAACTTACCCATAGAAATTGCACTGTTGCCGTAGCAAAACCAATTAATTCAAAATAAAGTTTATTACAGTAATTGTTCAAAATGCCGTCCATTATTATTTACACACACTTGCAATCGTCTTTACAAAGAACTTTGAATATTAGAAATTAGTCTTGGATTTTGTCGTAGTTCCTCGGCTATCGCATTAACTTTATTGGTTAATTGTTCAACACTATTAATAGGTTCATTATAAACCAGTTGTTTCATGTAGTTGTTTCATGTGACCCCACAAAAATAAATCGCATGGATTTAAGTCCGGAGATCTCGGAGGCCACTTAGTAGGTCCATTTCTGCCTATCCACTTTTGAGGAAATCTAATGTTCAAAAACTGCCGTACGTTTAAATCAAAGTGAGGAGGAGCGCCATCTAGTAGGTACCACATCCGTTGCCTTAATTGTAACGGTATCTCTTCTAGGAGTACTGGCAAAATATCTTCTAAAAAGTGGAGATATCCTGGCCCATTTAATCTGTTCAGGAGAACATAAGGCCCGATTAAATACTGATCTATTATGCCAGCCCAAACATTTATTGAAAATTTTCTTTGATGTCCAGTTTCCCTAATGGCGTGAGGATTTTCATCACTCCAAATATGCGTATTGTGCATATTGAACACGCCATCACGAGTGAATGAAGCCTCGTCAGTATACAATAATATTTTTAGAAAATCAGGAATATCAACACATTTTTGAATCATCCATTCACAAAACTCCACTCTCTTTTCTTCATCACCTGGATATAAGGCCTGGACTTTTTGGATGTGATAAGGATGTAAACCTTGTTCTTTAAGTGTCCGCCACACAACAAATGAGGACACTCCAATTTCAAGACGTAGTCTTCTACAACTTAATTGAGGCCGGTTTTCAACAGCTTCCAATATTTCTTCTTCGGCCGCCAATGTTCTTTGTGTTCTTGTTCTCCCTCGATCTGCATTGACACTCTCAAATTTTCCATGGTCTCTTAGATGCTGAACAGTTGAAATAAACGTACGACAGTCCGGAATTCTCCGATTTGGAAACCGTTCGCGATACAGGATTTGTGCTTGCCGAGAATTTTCTCCAGCTGCCCCATAAACCAGCACTATATCCGTTAGTTCAATATTCGTAAATAGTGGCATCGTAAAAAAATATTTAAAAGTAATCGTAACAACACTTTTTACCAACTTGGAAATGACGCGCTCGTGTTAGCCAGATTCGTAAATCAACTAAAATTTTAATAATCTATAGTTTCAAAAATGTATAGTTTAAAAACAATCATTTATCAAATATTCTAGTATTTTGATAACGAGGGTAGTAAAAACCAGTCTTCGGAAATAGAAATTAATTCGAAAATCTTGGCAACATGGTTATTTCTTACAAGACTAGTTTTCTTATCATCTGACAAAAACTTGCATATTAATTACTGTTGATGTTTAAAATAGGTAAATAAACATAATTTATATAGGTCATCCTCAACATATCAGTGAAGTACGTTTGTTTTAGAATTAATTTTCAAAAATTAATAACTCCCTTAATAAGGGGTATTTTTAAAAAATAATATTTTTCTACATTCAGTGGGGATCTGCGCAGTAACCAGTTTTAATATGTACGTGTATTTCAATAACACCCTGTATAATCAAATATAAAATGATTTTTGGCTTTTAATGTTTTAAGAAATACAAAATACAAGTCTGTAAAACTACAAAAAACTAAAGTTACAAAAACAGATATCTTTCACCCCATGCACCTTTTCACTTCGCTGGTTATCAGCACCAGAAAAACACGTTAGTTTCTAACCCCTATAGAAAAAATAATACTATAGCAGCAAAAACATGTTTTCGTACTAGAATAGTAAACACTTTCAGCTATCCAACACTGCATTCGTTTTACCCCTTACCCCTCCATGGACGCCTTCTACGCGCCGTCTCGTTATTTAATAGCCAGACCTTGTATTTGTAAAAAACATAAGATTAGCAAATAAAAATCAGATAATTAGGAATTATAAACCTACGACTTTAACAATTTAAGTAGTTATTGGATGACTTGAGCGCACTTTTGAACTGCGCATGCGCGGCCATAGCTAGGAAGTTGGCTAACCTACATGTATCATCTGTCAACGAACTAACCTAACCTATGTCAGCTGTCATCTGTTAATCTAACATATGCGCAGTTCAAAAGTGCGCTCAAGTCACCCAATAACTACTAATTTATACAAGTTCCAATATTGAAAAATGCCAGGACAATCTTATCTGATATACAAGAAATATATTGAACCAATTTTTATGAAATATGCGTATAGGCTACTGAATATAATAAAAGTCTGAACCAATTAATTGCACAAACAATAAGTAGTTTTGAAAAGATTCATTAAAAATAAATTATATAGAACAAAGCGCTCATTTAAAGTCTTCATTTTTGCATATTAAGCAACGGTATACATAAAAGGGGAATTAAGGCGACTACTAAATAACAAACTCAAAGTAAATAACAGAAATAATGATAGTATTTATTTCGACTTACAAAACAATGTAAGCTTATTGTGTTCCATTGTTGTTTCAAGAAATATCTTACTCGTAATTGGTTTCCCTTTGAATTTTAATACTTTAGAGTAAAAAATATGTATATCGTTAGTAAAATGTCTGGTTCGTTAGAGGTTAATTTTAGTTTTGACAAGATTAAACTTTTAGGCCTGCTCTTTGCTTGTGTAGAAGTGAATAATACATGGCATTCGCGTATGCAAGTCAAGAGGTGATATATTAGAGGAAAAGGTGCAAATATGGAATACCGTTTTGTTTGGTTTATAAAAAATTTTTGTTAGTGACTAGATTTAAGCCAAATTTAGGGAAAAGGTACTTTAGACAATTAGACACCAAAATGTAAAAGCAAAAATACTAGTATTCCATATTACCAACAACCCATGTCATCAATATTTCAGGTTAGATCTAGGCTAGAACAAAAAACTAAACAAATGCAACGTCATCTTAAACTTTAGTTTATATACAGTGGCATCGTAACAAAAATTTAAAGTAAAACATGCAAATAAAAAAAAATTAAGCTTGCATATTCTTTTACGTGTTAAACTTTTCAGGACGCAAAATTCACATGTGCACACCTCAAGAACCAAAACCATACTAAATTGGCGCGGGGTAGATCGCCTACAATAAAGATAGCAAACAAGCATAAGTTTAGCCGGTTTTCGATAGAGGGCGGCATTTGGTTTAGTAAAAACCGAGGTATTCCATATTACATGTATATTCCATATTTACACCTTCTTCTCTATCAATATCTTTAGTCACAAGTCAAGTTACCGGTGACTAATTCGTCCTTAAAGCCAACGTAGACTTGCTAGATTTTAATTCTTGATAAGCACAAAGAGACCAACTTTCCAAAAAAGTAAATTTGTTAACCGTAGCAAAGTACTTTCGCTGTCGCTTATTTCAACAGAATTTTTTTAAGGGTTGATACATTTTTTGCTACAACAGAAAAAAATTCCCTCAGTGTACTTTATTTCCCATTTGTTTCTGATATATTTTTTTGATTTTTAATAATATCTATATCAGTGGTCGCCAACCTGTCGATCGCGAGCTACCGGTAGCTC